GCATAAAACCCCAAAACCCCAAAACCCCGAGAGATGAATTTTTGCTCATTGAGACTCGTAATAGTAATTGTGAATACTTATAAATTATTTAAAATTATAGCCTCATTAATATATTAAACCCTTTTCAGAGATCACCACCATGTTCTCTTGCTGTTTAAAGGAAACTAAGTCTCCAAGAGTTGAATCGACCCCTTAGTTATAAGTAAAAAAGAATTAAGTCTCGCCTAGCAAGATAAATTACAACATCCATTTTTAGCAAAACTAAATAACATCATCGCCCCTAAACATAAATAAATAATTTGAGATACATATTCATAATTCACAACTGAATAATATTGAAGATGAACCTTTCGAATTTAAAGAATTATCAAAGCAAACAACTAGTTTATCCACATAGAAGAAAGTCTCTAAGCAAAGTCGTACTTGATCATAGCATACCCATCACCATCCTCCAAGAAGTAATTAAGACAATAAAAAAGTGCCACCTATCGTATTCCATAATAATTAAAAAAGAACTGGTAAAGAAAGCAATAACTTAAAATAAGATGAATCAATTGATAACTAATAGATCAATTAATTGATAGATGATTTACTCAAATTGGATGAAGAAACTGCGATGTAAAGACTTCAAACTCTGGGTAAATCAAACAATAAATTAAACTTATTTTTGGACTTTATGCAAACTGTCGAAGAAGACGCTGTTAGTAATCTCAACTCTAACAACAAAGATAAGAAGCTTAGTAGTGAATATCAAGAAACTAAGAATAATAATAAAAGAGAATTGACTACTGCAGAATCCTAGAAATGCAGAGGCACTACACCCAGATTCAAATAAGAGTCAAATATTGATTTTGATTCAAGTAGAAATAAACTAGAAGAAAATATGGATAGCAGGAAGAGGTCAAATTTTCCAGGATTTGATCTCCCGTTTTCTCCCTAACCTATTTCTTCCCCAGATAAAATGTTTAATTATCAAACCTAAAACACAATATTTTCCATAAAAAAATAAACTATTACAAAAACAACTAGCCAAGCGTAGTAGGAGAAATAGGCAGAGGAACTAAAAAATTTGTAACAGTAACTAATCGAATCAAATGAGGAGGAGATACTAGTTACTGAGAGTTTTGAAACAAGTTGAGATATTGGACAGTCTTACTTTTTATATCCCAATATTAGGTTTTCTGATAATCTAATGATACTTATACATCTTTATCGAATTATGATAACCTATAAATAATCAAACAATTAAATAATTAATTAACTCGTTGAATAGAATTTGATTGTCAAGTTGTTCTAAAAATATTGTTCATTGTGGGGTTTTGGGGTTTTGGGGTTTTGGGGTTTTGGGG